GGCTCGCTTGGTGAGACCGCCGTCACCAAGGCGCAGGTCGCCAGTGGGGCGGTCGATGATCAGGGCCGGGGCATCGGGAGAAGAGGGCGAGGTGAAGATGTAGGAGTCGCTGGCGAACTTGACGTTGATGTCGCGGTAGGGGAGTGTAGGCGCCATGGCCGTGGGTGGGTAACTGAAAAGGGCCTGGGAGGGGGCAAAGCAGACGAAAGTAGTCAGAGTCCTTGGAAAGAAATCAAGAAACTAAAACCTGGAAAGTGACGAAGAGAAGTGTGCGAGGTGTGGCCGTGGCTGTCGCAACGCGGGGCTGTTGGAAAAAGCAGTGGACAGCTCAGATCGTGGCAGTGGTGGGTGGTGTTGAGGCCCCAATTGGCAAGCTGCTGTCGTCACTTCCCAAACGTGCCCTCGTCACTGTCACTGGCAGGAGCTTGGCGGGCTCGCCCCTTCTGCCTTCTGAGCTTCTGACGCGCACGAGCCAGTTGCTCTAGGGACGGGGGAGTGGGGTGGGGGCGCAAGGGGTGGTCCTGTGGGACTGAGACTTTTTACCTTACAGGGCCCTCAGTTCCATCCTCACATGCCTGGCAAGCCTGGGAGGTACCGGTGGAAGAATGAAGTGGCAGCCTGGAGTGGGCAATCACGTGGATTACATAAGACACAAGGTAAGGCACCGTACTGGCCCGGCGCTGCACAGGAGGTACCTTGTGACGACGACCCTCGCCGCCACCTGCGCTCTCTGACGCTGCCGTAGTGTAGTAGTGGATGCTTTTGGTTCTAGGATTTACATTTACCACCACCCGTGGCGCCGGACTAATCTGGTTAGCCTTCTCGCCGCTCTTGCTCAGGCTTGGCTCAGACCAAGCTCAGCCACGCACTCGCCACGCCTCAGTCGAAGTCATTAGAAGAGAGTTTATGCACGTTGTGCACAAAGGACGAAGATTGAATGTAGTTCCGTTTTGACGTGACTTACAGGTGGACAACGATGCTTGATTAACTGTCGCACTGCCTTACTGACCGCTAGTTAAAAATACCTAGCCTGAGGGACCGGCTGGTTGCTCCAGCTTCATATGCCCAGAACGCAGAGATACGTCCAAGCCCACATGCCCCTGCAGTCCGATCCGATGGCTGGATCCCACGTGTGCAGGCAAGGCATGTTTGCGAGCGTGACTTGGTGCGCGAGCCTCTTGATACCGCCAGCCAAAGTAGAGCATTCACCTACTACCTCCTCCACAAGTCTCTTTGTACAGGTCGTTGGTCGTGAAGTTCATTCCAAGTATGTATGGTATAGTAACTTCGGGTATCTGCCTTGGTTCCCTCAGCCAATGTTCAGCAAGGTCGTCGCCCCGCCCGCCTCGATCTTGCTTCAATTCTTTTGCCATGCTATTGACAGCTTTCAGCGTGCGCTTCTCATTTCGCTCCCAGGCATTAGCCCGGAACTCATCCGGCTATCCGTAGTCTTTCTTGAGAGTATGAGCAACGAGCGCGCCCCTTACGTCCTGATGCTTCAACCACGACTCGGTTAGAATAGGGCAATTAGAGGTAGGTGCTGCGAGCAGGGTACTGACATACCTAGTTGCGGCAATTCTCTCTTCGCCGCGTAGAGGTAGATACTCCAAGCTCCATAGGTCCCGAATGTATCGTTTCAAGATAAAAGGTGTATGAAAGGTCGGCCAGTTGCGATAATGGTACTGAACATCAGACCCCTCGTCTTGAAAGTCCTCGAAAATAGTCCGGGAGGAATATTCGCATATGTCCCAGAATGTGCGAATGGCATCTTTGGCAGACGATGTGTTAGGTCAACTTTTCTTCTGGTTCAATCCACAAGTTTTTGATATATTTGATAAGAAACTGACTTGTTGTAGTGCCGCGGATCCAGGTCAGCCCATCTGACTGCCAAGGGCACATCAGGGCCACGTCTTCGGGGAGATGGGTTTTTCGATCAGTCTGATCCGAACTGTCATCTTTAAAGGAAGAATGCGCTTTGCGAGAGCTCACGAGGGGGTTGTCATCCACGTGCAAATAGTTAGCGATAGCGGCTTCTGGAAAGAATATAACCCCCTCCCTTGTCCCGGCGCTAGCGGCTTGGTATGGCAGTCGTTTGACGAGAGAAAGAACACGCCGCCTCATGTGCAAATCATCCCGTAGGCGTCTTTATCGATGCTGATATGTCTGCCGGTGTCCCTAAGGGGGAACACGACGCCGGCCTCATTAAGGTAGCGAATTTTCAGTGTCTGCGAGCTGTTCGTTTCATGGCCCATCGCGTTTCCAGCTGCAAGACATGGTCTAGTCCAGGCCTGTCTGTCATAAAGTACACAGATGATGATCATCACGAGCGTCCTCACTGTCAGGGTTAGTCAGCCAATGTCGACCGACGTCCTGGAAATTCGGGACCAAAAGCGGTGCACCGCCGTTGATGTTGTTATCTTTTTACGGTATGCCAGCGGTTTTACGGTAGACTTTTGTGCACATGTACCTGAATTATGCTAGCTAAGCCACGATCAAGCTCAAGGGCCCACTCAGTCTCGGCTCAGGCTAAAAGCAGCGAGGCTGAGGTTCTGCTGGGCGTGGGCCTGACGTGTGCAAGGTCCATTTCAGCCAGTCACCGTCGAGGAACACCTCGCCATCTCCCAAGCTTCCCTCCATCCCAGAGAGCCCAGTCCCCAAAGTCCGAAGTCCCCCATAGGCAGTGTTTCCTGAAGCGGGCTCGTCCATCACCCGACCCTCCGATTCCATCACCACCAACACTACGACTACCACCTCTTGCGCTCCCTCAACGACTCCTCGCCCCAACCACCCCCCCGCGTTACAAACGGATACTTCCACTTCCTATCTGCAACCTATCTTCCGTGCCCATCGCCGTCGACCTGATCCGCCGACACTTCCAACTCCCAACCCTCCGCCACTTTCTTTCCTCGACCCTATCCACCAGATACCATGGCTTCCCGTGCGGTCCAGGCGCTCCCGCCGCCGCGGGGGCTCCAACACTCGCTTTGCGCAGTTCAAGCTTGTTCTTCTGGGTTAGTCACCGTTTGCTCATTTTGGGAATTCATACATCATCGCTGACACAGTTCGTAGGAGAATCCGCCGTTGGAAAGGTAGCCCGCCCCAGCCTCGGCGGAGATGCATTGTACATGTCGCTGACCTGCCACAGAGCTCCATCGTCTTGCGATTCGTCAAGGTGAGCACTCCCCCCAAGCGCTGGAGTGATGTACGACGACCAAGCCGCTGACTAGACGTCCAGGACCAATTCGACTCGTATCGGGAATCGACCATCGGCGCTGCTTTCCTGACGCAAACCATTTCGCTCGACGAGAACACAACAGTCAAGTTTGAGATCTGGGATACCGCCGGCCAGGAACGCTACAAGTCGCTCGCCCCCATGTACTACCGCAACGCCAACTGTGCCGTCGTCGTCTACGACATTACCCAATCCGTATGTTTCCCCCACCCACATGCCAACTGGCGCGGATGTGAAAAAGCCGGCTAACAGACGGTAGTCGTCCCTCGACAAGGCCAAGGCCTGGGTCAAGGAGCTGCAGCGTCAAGCGAACGAGAACATCATCATCGCGCTGGCCGGCAACAAGCTGGATTTGGTCACCGAGCAGCCCGACAAGCGCGCCGTCTCCACGGCTGATGCCGAGGCCTACGCCAAGGAGGCCGGTCTGCTCTTCTTTGAGACATCGGCAAAGACGGCCGAGAATGTCCGCGAGCTCTTCACGGCCATCGCGAAGAAGCTGCCCCTGGATCAGGTCGGCCCTAGGCACGCGCGGCCAGGCCAGCGACAGGGCGTCAGCCTGACCCCCGAAAACGCGAACAACACCATGGGCGGAGGCTGCAGCTGCTAAGCAACGTGCTGTCCTTTTCGACTGGTGACAGGCGACTGCTGTTTGCAGAAGTTCTCCTTGACACGTGCGTGAGGGGAGGTCACGACAGAGAAAGGAGACGTTGGCTCTCTCTCTCTCTCTACCTACCTACACACCACAACGACAGCTTGCTTCTCTTGGCGGGCAAGCCAAGCGAAGACCTTTCGGACACCAAACAGGAACACAGCGCAGCCTCGGACGGGGTTGTGTGGAGGGTGGGGGGGACATGATGGCGTTTTTTTTTGCCCCGACATTTTAATACCGACACTGCATTTTGATCTGTGACTTACCTTACATTCGCGTCTTTCACGAGGGCCGCCATTGGTTGTCAGTAGTAAGCCGTAGCGGCCCGGGCTCGCTACAGGAACGGAGGAGCACACAGAGAGACACAACTCTTCCGGGGGCGAGCACACGCGGTGGGGCAATCGAGGGCCCCCTCGCGGGAAGAGTGAGAGAGGTGGAAGCGGCGCATCCTTAGCATTTTGGGGATGTACAGTATGCGATAGAGGAAGCTACTCTTAGGCGCAAGACACGGCAATCTTTGACATGGGTGTGGTGTGCTGTGGTGTGCTGTATTGTTAATGCTGGCGATGGATGTCGGACCACAGCATGGGAAGACCGTACGAGAAAGATTGCGCTGGTCGATTGCGTGCTGGTGATTCCTGTCTGTTTCGATGTAGACAGCCTTGCCGGAGCAGAGCCAGACGCAGCAGTGAGGTCATCCCGGTTCCTACCGTCCGGCAGCAGCAGGAAGCGCTAGCCCTGGCCCGGTCACAGGCCACAGGCCACAGGCCAGTGGACAGCCGCCAGCGGACAGCCGGGCGGCGGGCCAGCAGCCAGGACCAAGCTTGATTAGCCGAACTTCATCCTGAGCTTTTTTGTGCCTGGGCCTGTCGTCAACCTCGCGCGGACCATCACATCACCTCTTTCTGACCACCCCCATCACCCATCATCCTCTACCCTCTACTCCGCCCTTACCGGCCACCACACGCCCCCATGTTGCGAACATCGATTCGGTCAGCAAGGGCGATTGGCCGCGCCCCTACTGCGTCCGCAGTCGGCCGCCAATGGCACGTCGCCGCCCTCCGTGCCAGCTCCAGGCACTTTGCCGACAGCAGGAAGCCCGATCCTGTCTCCCAGCCCGTCAAGCTGCCGACCATCGAGACCAACACAGCCAAGGAGAGCAAACCTCCCAGACTCGTCGATCCCGAGCCTACTATCCCCGCCGATAACATTCCCCTGACACCCGCAACCTCCTCCCGCCTGCGGACCAAGCCTCTTCCCCGAACTCGGGTGGATGTTGACACCCTCAACGACGACGCCCGACGACACCCGCCGCCTCCTCCCCCTCGGGCCGCGCCTCCCGAAGAAGGGCTTTCTTTCCGCCGTCTGAGGAACCTTGTGCTGACCCTCGCCGTCCTCGGTGCTCTCGGCTTTTGGTGGGTGGGTTTCAAGTACTCGAGGGATCAAATGACAACCTTCCCCGGGCTTTTTTCCCCGAAAAATGTCCCCCTTTGGCGAACCAGGCCGTCCTCTTCCCTTGAGAGATGGACTTCGCCAGCCCCTCCCCAACTCTTCACAAAACAGCAAGAACCCCACACCCGCCCCCAAGTTGCCCTTTCCCCCCGAGCGCGCCCCTTGAGGGGCGCCGCCACGGCCCACCCACCTGCCCCCAGTCAGCGCTGTTGATAAGTCCTCCGGCAAGGTTGCCGCCCGAAGAAGCCAACGGCTCCTGCGGCGCCCGCCCCGACCCCCGAGCCTAAGCCCGCCCCTGTCGCCGAGAAGCCTGTCGCTCCCGTCGAGGCCCCTGTCGAGGTCAAGGCCGCCCCCGTCGCTTCCAAGCCCGCCAAGGCCCAGTCGACCGAGGCGTTCCGCGCCCCCGAGGTCAACGAGCCCTCGAGGCTGCCGCCCATTGCGCCCATTGACCCCCTCAAGGTCAACGACGCCATGGAGCCCCTGGTACAGGACCTCGTCCACATGCTGAACGACATCATCACCGTCGTCAACGCCGACAAGGCGCAGGGCCGCTACGGTGCCACTATTGACAAGGCCAAGAGCGAGCTCAACAAGGTCGGCGGCAAGGTCAAGGACGTCCGCGGCGAGGTCGAGAAGAAGGCCGCCGAGGAGGTCCGCCAGCGGATCAACGATTTTGACGCCGCCGCCGATGCCCTCGTCAAGCGCGTCGAGGCCGCCATGGCCGCCCAGGAGGCCAACTGGCGAGGCGAGTTTGAGGAGGAGATGAAGCGCGTCAAGAACAGCTACGACGAGCGCGTCAAGGTCCTCCTCGAGCGCGAGAAGCAGCTCGGCCACCAGCGCCTCGAGAACAGCCTCCTCGAGCAGGCCCTGGCCCTGAAGAAGGAGTTCACGGGCGAGGTCCGCAAGCGCGTCGAGGACGAGCGCGACGGCCGCCTCGGCAAGCTCAACGACCTGTCGGCCGCCGTCGCCAACCTCGAGAAGCTGACGGTCGGATGGAACGACGTCGTCGACACGAACCAGCGCACCCAGCAGCTGCACGTCGCCGTCGAGGCCGTGCGCGCCAGCCCTCGAGAGCGGCAGCGTCCACCCGCGCCCCTTTGTCCGCGAGCTCGTCGCCCTCAAGGAGATTGCCGCCGACGACGCCGTCGTCAACGCCGCCATCGCCTCCATCAACCCCTCGGCCTACCAGCGCGGCCTGTCGACGTCGGCGCAGCTCGTCGACCGCTTCCGCACCGTCGCCGGCGAGTCCGCAAGACTTCGCTGCTGCCCGACGACGCGGCGTCGCCAGCCACGCCTCGGAGCTGGTCCTTCAGCAAGGTCATGTTCAAAGAGCAGGGGCTTCGCCATCGGCGATGACGTC